GTCCTAGTGTGGCACTGTGGGATAAGCACCGGACTGCTAACAGAAAGGTCGGCAGTTCAAACCCACCATCCGCTCTTCAGAAACCCTATACAAGGTCACTCTATATACACTGTAGAGCGTATAGAGTCGGAACTGACTTGATGGCACTTAAACCACAGGTTGTTGTTAATGTTGTTGTTAAGTGCTATCAAGTCGATTCTGACTCATAACAACACTGTATCAGGTTTCCGAGGAGCCACTGGTGAATTTGAACCTCCGATTTTGCAGTTCAAACTGACCTTGTGGTCCAATGTTTATCCTACAGCACCATGCCAGGTGCTCAGTGAATGTTCATTCCCTTTATTCCTACCACTACTTTTATTACTTAGACGGAGTCCCTGTGTGGCACAAATGGATAAGCACTTGAGTACTAGCCGAAAGGTTGGCAGTAGCATCCCACCCAGAGGTTGCTGGGAAGAAAAGCCTCATGATCTGCTTCCTAAACCCTTGGAAACCCTGTGGAGTAGTTCTACACTGCACACACAGGCCTGTCATCAGTTGGAATAGATTCAAATGGCAATTAATAATAAGGTTTTTATTTTGGAACATTTTTATTGTGTGCTCAGTGAATGTTAACAGAGCAAATTGGTTTCCCATTGAACAATTTCTACTCCTTATGTTTCATGACGTTTAGTTGCCATTCCCTCAGTACCCCAGCATTCTTATCTCTTCTTCCCAGAGTTCCTGGTCTTTAGTCATCCTTTTCTGACTCTACCTACCTCCTTAGCTGGCAAATACTACCCTTTGGGTGTTATATGGCTGATGATTCGGATAACCATGTTTGTTGTTTTATTTTTCACTTTATAAGCCTGTCTGTTGGGTAAGGATCCCTGGTGGCACTGTGGGATAAGCATCAGGCTACTAACTGAAAGGTCAGTGGTTCAAATCCAAGGGAGAAAGATAAAACTGTCTGCTCCTGTAAGGATTTACAGCCTCAGAAACCCTATACGGGGTGGGTAGGAGTCAAAAATCCACTCAATGGCAGTGGGTAGTCTGTTGTTTGGCTGCAAGGTGGTCCCTGGGGGGGATGAGTTCCAGGGTGGGAGAGTGCCTAAGGGCCACGATCCTCATAGACTCAGGAAGGGTTACTTGCTGGGGCAGCATTTCACCTTGGATCTCACTGACTGTAATTCTATCTTCCTTCTCACTGGCTCCCAGGCTTCCTGCTCACATCCTGCTCCCGCTTTGTCTCTTCAATACCATCCATCTCTGCAGAACCAGGCTCTTTGATAGAAGGAGCCAGCGCCCATCTCACCGTCCACTCGAATCCCAATGACATTGTCGCCACTTCGTGGTTCCGGGGCCACAAGGCCCAGCCGTCAGCCATGATCTTCTCTCCTGAGGGCCTCCCAGGAGCTGGGCACACTGGCCGAGAGATCCTAGGCCCCCAAGGCAGCCTCATCATCAGAAATTTGACTGCTCAAGACTCGGGGAGCTACACTGTAGAGCTGCAGACCAGTAGGGGACGCAGGAGCGCAACAGAGCAGATAGATGTCAAGGGTGAGTGGGGCCTTGCTGTGAAAACGTGAGAAAAGGTTTTCATCTTATGCTAAACAGCATTCTATGATAGTTACCGGGCTGGGAGGGAGGGGAGAATTATTCACTGGTTAAGGCATACATGCGTGCTAACTTGGGTGCAGGGGAAGGCAGTTAAGAAGAAGAAAGGGAAGTATCAAAGAAAAAGAAAACAGAATTGCTTTTATTTTTGTGTTTTATTGGACTGTTTTTTGTTTTTTCTTTTCATATGCTAGAAGGGAAACCATGTATACTTATTTTCTTATTAAGAGAAAGCATTGGGAACTTTCATGCAAAATTTTTTAAAAAGGGAAAAGGAAAAGAGAGAGAAAACGATTTGGAAATATAGGGGTGATGGGGTTGTGGTTGGTGTGGCTGAGTTATACATGTAAAATACTTGAAATGGCAAATATTTTGTGGTACACTTTTTTTTTTTTTAAGTTGTAATCTCCTCCCTAAATAACAAGGCCCTAGTGATGCAGTGGGTTAGGTGCTGGAGTGCTAACTGCAAGGTTGGCAGCTCAAATCACCAGCCTCTCCTCAGGAGAAAGACGAGACAGCTTACTCCCGTAAAAGTTTAGTGTAGAGCATGCCCCAGAGTTATTCCACCCCAGGTAGAGGGAAATGGGCTATGTATGGTATATGTATATATATATATATAGTTGTTGTTATGTGCTATGGAGTCGGTTCCAATCCATAGCGACCCTGTACAGGGTTTCCAAGGCTATAAATCTTTACGGGATCAGAAAGTCTCACCTTTCTCCTGCAGAACAGCTGGTAGTTTCGAACTGCTGACCTTACGGTTCACAGCCTGATTTGTAACCACTATGCTACCAGAGCTATAGATATATTTATACCAACCCCACATCAGGCAGTGATGGGAGGTGTTCCCAGATGGGCCTCTGGCCTGCTCCCTCCATGGGCCGAATGGGCTCCTGCAGCCAGCATAAGCCCTCAAGCAATGGGATGCAGCTTGAAAGGGATAAGATAAAGGGATGGAATGGGGCACCAACAGCTGTGCCACCCACAGTGTCTAGAGTGGCATCGGGCACAGACTGGGTATCCCAGACACATTTGCAGGCAAGTGAATGAATACATGAATTAATGAATGTCAGGAGGAAGAAATGTTCAGGCTCTCTGAGTGGTCTTCCTCTGTTCACACAGCCAGCAACCCTACAGTGTTAATCATATCACACCCATCGTCTTTTCTGGACAACATCAAGAGTGACCTCAACTACTCAGTGATCATGTTGTGTGCGACATCACAATACAACACTTTGACTTGGACGCTGAACGGGGAGCCCTTCTGGTTCCAGAAGAGGTTGATCATCCGACGGTTGTCCAAGGAACACTTGGGCACTTACGTGTGCACAGCCAAGAACAACATAGGACTGATGTCCTCAGACAAGGTGACCATTTCGCTTCCAGGTGAGTCTCACCCAGACCCCCCCATCTGATCTGAGGCCAACCTTCCTGGTTCCCCTGAGCCACATTCTGCAAGCAGACCCCTCTGAGACTCTTTACAACCAAGGTGTTACTCCATCTAGGTTTCCTGGCTTGTGTACCCAAGGGGAACATCTTGGCCCCTGTGAGCTTCTGGGAGTTCATTAACATATACAACACGCACATTTGCATGTGACGTTCATCAAAATAGGGAGTGGAATTTGAATTCTGGCTCCATAACTTTCTGGACCAAATGACTTTGCAACAATGCCTTCACTTCTCTCTGCCTCTGTTTCCCCACTTGTTGTTGTTGTGTGCCGTTGAGTCGGTTCCGACCCATAGCGACCCTGAACAGGGTTTCCGAGGCTGTAAACCTTTATGGGAGCAGAAAGCCTCATCTTTCTCCTGCGGAGCAGCTGGTAGTTTCGAACTGATGACCTTGCGGTTCACAGTTCCATTCGTAACCACTACGCTACCAGAGCTCCTTGTAAGATTAGTGAAATAATAGTGCCCACTTCAAAGTGTGGGTGTGAGTATTTCATGGGCAAAGCAGGTGGTGGTTGTTATTAGGTGCCATGGAGTTGGTTCGACAAAATGAAACACTTTTTTCTGCCCAGTTCTGCTCCACCCTCAGAACTGTTTCTGTGCTTGAACCCACGGTTACAGCCGCTGTCAGTCCAGCTGCTCAAGGGTCCTCCCCTTCCCCCCCTGGATTCTGTCAGGCAAGATTTCTTTCTCCTGAGAAGCAGCCTTTTGGTTAGAAGCCTAGCTTTTTGACCACTGTACTATCAGGGCTGGAGTCCTGGTGTGGCACTGTGGATTAATGCGCTGGACTGCAAATCAGTTTGAACCACAAGGTCGGTGGTTCAAGCTCACCATCCGCCCCTTGGAAACCATATACAGGGTCACTATGAGTCGGAACTGACTTGACGGCTCTTAACAACAACAGCAACAACCATCAGGGCTACTGATAAACAATACCCAGCAGCTACAATTCAGTTCATAAAATCAGCTTCATTAGCTTCAATCTTATTTAAACAACAAACGGGGAAATCAGCTCTTTGAGCTAGCCGATTTTCCTGAAATATTTTCCACACTGACCAAGACAGCTGTCTTACTGACAGAGTTTGTCTGCAGTCATCCACGGATCACAGAGACATGTTTAAACAGGTTTTGTTTAGAATAAACTAGTGCATGTATGAACTGGAAACCCAGTAGCAATACTTTTTGACTTATCCTCATATATCCAATGAGGAGCGCTGGTGGAGTTGAAGGATAAGCACTGGACTGCTAATCACAAGATCTGAAGTTCAAACCCACAAGTTGCTCCTCTGGAGAAAGATGAGGCTGCCTGCTCCCGTAAAGATTTAGGATCTCGGGAATGCTATATAGGGTCACTGTGGGTCAGAATTGACTCAACGGCACCTAACAACAAAATAGATCCGCAGGAATTTTTTAAAATGATAATAAGGATAAACATTGTGTGTAAAAGCTTAAGGTTTCCAGAATAAAAGAACCAAACGATTGTTTGAAGTTTATCAGAGGCAGGAGGGAAGGGAGAGTAGTTCACTGGCTGGAGGGTAGACACATGTTAGTGCTGGTGATGGGGAGGGCAATATACACGAAGAGGAAGGGGTGGCAGAATGATGAAGAGGGGTGTGAAGGACCAAAGAATATAGGGATAAATAGTGACGTCTATACAACCTTGGAATGACAGTGTTCTGTGGATAGATACATGGAGTGAGACGTGGGCTGAATGGGTAAGGGAGGAAGTTGTTGTTGTTGTTGTTAAGTGCTGTCCAGTCGATTTGGACTCATCGCGATCCTGTATAGGGTTTCCAAGGAGAGACTGGTGAGTTTGAACTGCCAAGCTTTAGGTTCAAACTGATCTTGTGGTCCAGTGCTTATCCTACAGTGCCACACCAGGACTCCAAGGGAGGAAGTTGTTGTTGTTAAGTGCCCTTGAGTCGGTTCAAATCCATAGTGATCCTACATAGGATTTCTGAAGAGCAGCTGGTGAGTTTGAACTGCCAACCTTGCGGTACAAACAGACTTTGCAGTCCAGCGCATTCACCCACAGTGCCACACTAGGATTCCTAGGGAGGAAGAGTGGGATACATATATATTTATATATCCCACAAATATATAAGAGTTTTAAAGAGAGGGGGGAAAAAAGAAACATTCTTTGATGGATACTAGGGATGGGAGGGAAGGGAGAGTAGTTCACTGGCTAGAGGGTTGTTGTTGGGTGCTGTTGAGTCAGTTCCAACCCATCGTGACCCTGTATAGGGTTCCCAAGGAGCACCTGGTGAGTTTGGACCGCTAACCTTGCGGTACTAACCAGCTTTGCAGTCCGCGCATTAACCCACAGCATCATACCAGGACTCCATATAGCTTACTCCTTGGGGATTTCCATATTTCCATAAACTACCGAGAATCCTGGCCCAGCCAAGCTGTCAGGAAACCTTAACTCTCACAATCCTCTTTATTCATTTTATTTATTTATTTTTAATGTTTTATTGTGAATTATGTGATAGTTTACATGGGAGAACATCAGTCTTACATTCATTCTATCGTATATCGTCTCATTGCCATGGTTACAATCCCCTCCATGCAGTCCTTCCCCTGTACCCCCCAGGTCTTCAGCACACAGTCGCTCTCCGTCTCTGGATCTAAAGTCTCCAGCTGCTCCATTGCTCCACGTCATCATCTCTGGCTCCATTTCAGGCATCACTGCTTCTCTGGGTAGGGTCCCGCTCTCTGCTCTTCTCCCTTGATGGTCCTAGGGACCTCCGCTCCTAGACTGAAAAGTTAATCACTCCCTTCCTTGTTATAAACATCCACCATTACATTTCCGACCCTCACAAACAGTCCTGATAATAATTATTCACTATTGTATCACAAGAGACTCTTTATTCATTCTTCAGATAGTCAGGAAATGTTTGTTGTTATTAGGTGCCATTGAGTCCGTTCCGATTCATAGAAACCTTATGCACAGCAGATCAAAACACTGCCCGGTACTGAGCCAATCTCATAACTGTTAAGTTTGAGCTCGTAGCTGTTGCCACTGTGCCAAACCATCTCATTGGGGGGTGGTCTTCCTCTTTTTTGCTGACCCTCCACTTTACAAAGCATGATGTCCTTCTCCAGGGACTGGTTCCTTCTGATAATATGTCTGAAGTATGAAAGACGAAGTTACACCATCTTGACTTCTAAGGAACATTCTGGCTGTACTTCTTCTGACACAGATTGGTTTGTTCTTTTGGCATTCCATGGTATTTTTAATATTCTCCTCCAACACCTTAGCTCACATGCACCAATTCTTTAATGGTCTTCCTCATTCGCTGTACAATTTTCACATGCATATGAGGTTATTGAAAATACCATGACTTGGATCTAACGCACCTTAGTTCTCCAACTGACATCTTTGCTCTCGAACACTTTAAAGAGGTCTTATGCAGTACATTTGCCTAATGCAATATATCGTTTGATTTCTTGACTGCTGCTTCCATGAGTGTTGATAGTGGACCCAAGCAAAATGAAGTCCTTGATAACGTCTATCTTTTCTCCATTTATATGGATGTTATTTATTGGTCCAGTGGAAATATTTCGTGAGCATCTTTTGTGTGCCCAGATCCCTGGGGGGCACAAATAGTTTGCGCTTGGCTACCAACCTTAAGATTGACAGTTTGTCAAATCCACTCAGCAACACTAAGGAAGAATGACCCGCCTATCTACCTCAGCAAGGTCACCACCATTGAAAACCCTGCGGAGCAGTTTGATTCTGAAATGTATGGCCACCATGAGTTGGAATTGACTCGACAGCAATCCGTTTGGTTGCTGGTTACAGTGTGCCTGGCTCATACTGGGAGGTTATGAGGGGAATTGTGATCAATCCAGTCCCCAGTCTGCCCTCCCAGCACTGAAAACCCAGGAGGAACTAGATCTGCCTTCAGGTGGTGACAACCCGGGATTGGGATAGAGGAACCTAGGAGTCTATAGGAGCCGAGAGGAGTGTTTTACTCAGTCTGGGATCAAGGAGGGCTTCTTGAAAGAAGGGGTGTCTGAGCTGGCAGTAGGAGACATAGAAAGTTTATCCAGCCTGAGAGGGGAGGGAAATGACTGAGATGCTATTCTAGGAGCGGGAACAGCAAAGACCAAGGCCTGGAGGTAAGAGGGAAAGAGACAAGCTAGGAAAATGGAATGCTGTCTATTATGGCCAGATTCTAAAGGGATTTGGAGAGAGATGAGACTGGGCAGTGGGCAGGATGCTGGGGAGTCACAGCAGGTTCTGAGCAGGGGAAGGTCAGGCCAGTTTTGTGCTTTAGACAGATCCCCTCTGGTTTCCGTGTGGCGGGGGCTGAGACTGGGGCAGGAAGCCAGGGAGAAGGTAGGACCCAGGGGATGGAAGTAGGAGGGTGGGGGTAGGTAGACGGAAGGGGGTCCTTCAGTTTTGTCTCCCTTTGGATCCTTAGAAGCTGAGCAAGAGCCCATCGAGCCGGACCCAGTCTTCTCCCTGTCAGGACTGCCTGCCATTGTCTTCTTGGTGACTGCGATTCTGGGGGTCATGGTACTGAGCGGCGGCATAGCCTTCACCATATTCCAGAGCCAGAGGTACCTCTTGACCCTCAGCCTGCCCCACCAATCATGTCCTCTCACAAGGCAAATCAGCAGCTCCCACCCCAAGGGGCTTAGGGGCCATGCAGAGAGGATAACATGGGAGCCATAGAGGGTTCAGAGCAGAGGAGGGACGGGATCCAACATCTGTTTTAACTCTGTGTTAGTTGTTGTTGTCAGCTGCCATCGGCCCCAATTCATCATGACCCCCATGCACAAGGGAACAGAACGGTGCCTGGTGGCCTTGCTCCACCTCCATACTCAGTTGCAGATGGAACGTTGTGATCCCTAGGCTTTCCATTGACTGATTTTCAGAGCAGATCACCAGGTCTTTCTTCCTACTTCTTCCTTATTCTGGAAGCTCCGCTGAAACCTTTTCAGCATTCTCAGCAACACACAGGCCTCTACTGGCTGCCTAGACGGGTGGAGGCTAGGGTGGGAATTGAACCTGGGTCTCCCACATAAACAAGAAGACAAACCCACTGCCACAGAGTCGATTCCAACTCGTAGCGATGCTATGTAGGGGTTCGGAGACGGTCTGTCTATACTGGAGCAAGCAGCCTCCTCTTTCTCCGTGGGTTGGAACTCCTGCCCTTGCAGTTAGCGGTCCAGTGCTTATCCCACAGCGTCACCATCCTTGGGTTTCCCACGTGGAGAGAGCGAACTCTGCTATTAAACCACCAATGCCTGTACAATAGAATGCGATTACTATCTTACCATTTATTGAAAGCCTAGCACATGCGCTACTAGTATTCTGGAGCCCTAGTAGTGCAGCAGGTTAAGCATTGGGTTGCTAATCACAAGGTCAGTGGTTCAAACCCACCAGCCACTCCCTGGGAGAGTGATGAGTCTGTGTGCTCCTAGAAAGATTTACAGTCTTGGAAACCCTTTGGAGCAATTCTACTCCATCCTATAGTCAAAATGAGTCACAATCAACTTGACGACTGTGAGTTATTTTGAATGAGAAGTATTTTTCTATTAAATTTCCATAAGAGTTCTGAGGAGTAGGGATGAAGATCTTAATTTTTGTCCCATAGGAGACATGGATTCAGAGAGAAAAGATTTGCCCCTGGCTTCACAGCTAGAGAGAAGGGATTCGAACCTAGAGTTTGGCCTGATTCTAGCTCCCACCCAACACCGAGTCTTTTCCCATCATTAATCATACAAGCCTTGGTAGTCTGTGTTCGATGGAAAAACCATATGGAGACTGTGTCTGACTTACTCTAACTTCACAAGGGGAAAAGAGAACTAAATTTAACATCAGCCCAAGACCAGTTCCTATGAGGCAGAAGTCAGGCACGCTTCCACCCTACAACCTTCTTGACCCTATTCTGACACCAACCACTCCTCCCCCAGCACTCTCTGCTTCCCATCTGGGTTCTATAATCCATTGCAATGGCCACACAGAATGCATAACACTCACGTTTACGGGGTTTATTAGGGAAGTGCACCGGGTGCAATTCAGGATCAGAAAAACTCAGGACGCAGCAGTTCTCCAGTCAGGAACGCGTCTTGTCTGCCATACTGCAGGCATGCCTCACTCTTGTCTTCTGCCTCTCAGTCAAGTGGTACCTTGGCCTCTGCCCTGTTTGGGCAAGTGTTACAAAGTTCTTTTGGACAGTCTGTGAATGCCCAAAGGGCCTAGAGCCCACAGCTGCTCTGTCTCTCATGCCACTGTCTCTGCCATCACCACTGCTGGTGTTTCTTTTCTGGTAGGGAATCTCACGCTCCATTCATGTTCTTCCTTCTTGATGACCCTGGGATTGTCTGTTCCTGCTTCTGAGATGCCTCCTTTTAAACCTAGCTGAATGCAAAAACTAACTAATCCCAGCCTTAGAGCCCTGTACACCTTATTTGCATGGTCCCACTAAATCACTTGATGGGAATTAAGAAGACATTGGCTAAGAAAAAGAACCCATACTAAATGGCGGGGGGAAGTTCTTTGCAGGTTGCTGGGATGTGTGGGGGAGTGAGGGAAGGGAGGGGAAGGTGGAGCACAGGACAGGGAATAGACACAGGATAGTTTGGGTGCTGGGAAGGGGGCAATATAGAAGAAGGGGGAGGGGAATGGAAGAACTAAGCGGATGGGAGAACAATTAGGCAGGTTTGAATGGGCTCAGTGGGACAGAGGTAAATAATGATGTATGTACAACCTTGGAACAACAGGGCTCTGGGATACAGGAATTGAGACATGGTTGGAATGGGGGAAAGGAGGGAAATAATGTTAAGATGCTTGGCTGTCTTTTGAATCTTGGTTTCCCTTGCATACCATTATAAAACAGACACTGGAGGGGAGAGAAAGGAATAGCAAGAAATATCACCACAGAAAGCTTGTAAGTCCGTCTTCTGCCTATAACTGATTGGAATACCTAACATGGGACTACAATGTGCCCAGTGAAGGAGGCTGCCTGCAGGGCCTCTGCATTACATAAGACCATAAGTGGAATCCTGAACAGCATCCAGAATCTTCACAGGTGGGAAATTTCCACTTGAAAGGACAAGCAGACCAGCCTAGAGCAGCTAGAAGAACAGAAGATACTTCTTGAAATAAAGACCGACAGTAAAAATACAAAACAATATAGGCAGTCTGACTGATTACTATAAGAACAAGCAAGTTGCTCGCCCAGGAGACATCAAGGCAAGTGGTCAGGTTCCCTCAGAGCAAACCCCCTTCCAAGACTAAGACTCAATGGGAATACACGCCCTAATTGGTGACCACGTTCATCACTGATAAGGGGAAGTGAGGGAAAAACAGCAATGAAGCTGCAAGCTAATCCTTATAACATTCAATAGACTCCTGTGAACCCGGGTGGAGACCTGGTCCACCAGCAGTGTGGCAAGACCTGGGGACTCTTGGACCCAGAGTCAGTGACATAGCCATGGAGGACTAGAGTGGAGAGTGAAGCATCCAGTTGATAAGAAGAGAGTGCATATGCATAAGAACACCCACACTTGCAGATAATACCCACTTGACCTGGCTTCAATGACTGGATGATCAGAGCTCAACTAGAAGAAGAAAGAAGAGGAAAAAAAGAGTAATCTGATACAATTTGATGAACTTGACCTACACCTATGGATGCAGTAGCTCAAAAGAGAGATTGAATCTTTACAGCGAGGATCATTCCCACCCCCTCCATACACAGAGTAGACAGGGATGGGCAACTTGGACATTGGCTACTCAAATTGGGGGGGCTACAAAGGCAAGAAGTGACTGGCTTACAAGCTTTCAAGAAGGAACCTAGATCCAGAGGGTGTGGAGGAAGGTAGAATCTCCACTGAGTAGTATCCAATCTGTCTAGGTGGAGCTAATGAAAGGAAAAGTGGATATGTCTCTTGTGGTACAATAGTGAATAATTGTTATCAGAACTGATTGTGAGGGTTGGAAATGTAAAGACAGACATTTTGTAGCAAGGAGGGGATTGATTAACTTTGCAGTCTAGGAGCGGAGGTCCCTGGGGCCATTAAGGGAGAAGAGCGGAGAGTGGGACCTACCCAGAGAAGCAGTGATGCCTGAGATGGAGGCACAGGCGATGATGTGGAGAGATGGAGTAGCTGGGGACTTTAGACACAGAGAGGGAGAGGGGCTGTGTGCTGACGACCAGGGGGCAGGCTTTGGTTTGCTGATGATGCATGGAGGAGATTGTAACCATGGCAATGAAACGATATATGATAGGATGAATGTAAAACTAATATTCTCCCATGTAAACTATCACATAATTCACAATAAAACATTAAAAAGAGAAGACGATGGATAGGAAGGACAGATCAAGTAAAGTCAAGGTACCACAACTGAAGAAGAGAAGTCTTCACATGGTTGAAATTGTTCAGGAAGACTTTATGGCGGCGCTGGGAGGGACAGTGGCCAGGCCTACCAGTCCATGAGCCTGTGTGGGACCTACTAGACTCGGGGAGAGGGGCAGGTTGTTATCTGTGTCATCTTCACCATAATGAAAACTCCAATTTCCCGAATCCTGGCTCTCAGAGGGGGGATACTGTTAGCATCCTCATTTTCCAAATGAGCAAAATGAAAGCTCAGAGGAATTCATCAATTTACCCAAGGACACCCAGCTGACATGGCCAAATGTGAACTGAGCCCAGATCTATTATATATTTTGCATATAACACATCCATAAGAAACTAACGCCCACCAAGGCCAAGAGAGATTGTTGGCAGTTGTCTTAATTACCAAGTGGTGCCAAAACACATCCTGTAACTATTCCGTTTCATAGCAACCCCGTGTAGGATTTCTAAGGCTACACATTTTTACCGGGAAAGATTGCCTTATTTTTCTCCCACAGAGCGGCTGGTGTGTTTGAACTGTCGACCTTGCAGGTAGCAGTCTAGTTCTTATCCTACAGCACCGCCTGGTCTCCTTTTCAGTTTTGGCTTTGATTTTGGCCATCAGCACAAATACCACAAGAGGGTAGCTTTAAAGAACAGACTTTTATTTTGTCGTAGTTCTGGAGGCTGAAAGTCCAAATCAGAACCCCAGCTGTGTGTCTCTCTCTTGTTTCTCGTTTCTACCAACATCTTCAGGGTTCTTGGCATCCGTCTGCCCTGTGTGTGTGTCTCTGAGTTTATTTTGCTGCTTTTATAGCTTGGAAGAGATTACGTTTAAGATCTGTTCTGTAATGGCATGGCCACAACTTTTGGATCGATTATGTTACATTGCAGAAGATAGTGACATGACATTCTATGGTATGTGAAGTAGTTACATTATTGCTGTGCTTAGCTGCTGGTGAGCTCCTTCTGATTCATAGTGACCCTATATCCATCAGATCAAATAATTACAGTACATCACATCATAGGTATAGAGTTTAGGATCCCAACCCATATTTGCGCAGGAGAACACAGTTTAATTCATAAGGTAAGGACCTGGGCCTGGATGCTTGCTGCTAGCGTATGTTCTATTGTATGTAGTTTCAACAACAACAAGAAACAAAATAAAGCATGAAACGATCAGGTGGGACTTTGTCTGAGTCCTTTAACCTCTCTGGGATGTTGCTGCTAACATCTCCCTCAAAGGGTGGGTATGAGGGTTCCCTAAGATGAACGGCTCCTGGCACACGGTGAGCTCTCCATGTGAAGCCAAGGGTCCTATTGCTGTTGCTGCTTTAATCATTGTGTGTCTATCTCCCTTTACCGTAGGACTGACAGAGGAAGAATACACTGCTGTAGATGATGTGTGGGTACCTGTGTTGGCAGCCCAAGAGGTAATCCTGGGAAAGGTGGGAAGAGAATCCTGGAGCCGGGGGGCAGGATGATGGCTGTGGGCAAGGACTCCACGTAAGA